AATATAATGTATATAATCAATATAATATAATTAATATAATATATTATAATATAATTAATTTATATAACAAAAAATAAAAATAGAGGGTGTTTGTGCTTAAACCGCTAGTTATTATTCGCTAATTTTTACAATCTTCTCGTTTGATACATGAGTTAACAATCTTTGTATAGAAAACAAAAATTAAAACAATATTTAGACGTTTTGATCAGTAATTTGATCATCTTCAGTAACGCAGAAAATTCGCAAAAGAAAACCATTTAATTGTTATACCATGAGACTGCTATTAAAAAGTATGTAATAGGTCCACATTGTGGAATAAATGTTGGTTTTTTTTTTGTCTCGACAACTCAATTTCATTCCACAATATAGACCTTTAACATACTTTTTAATAGCAATCTTATAGTATGACAATTAAACGGTTTTATTTTGCGAATTTCCTGCGTTACTGAAGATGATCAAATTACTGATCGAAACGTCTAAATATTGTTTTAATTTTTATTTTCTCTACAAAGATTGTTAACACTCATGTATCAAACGAGAAGATTGTAAAAATTAGCGAATAATAACCAGCGATTTAGGCACGAATATCCTCTATTTTTATTTTTTGTTATTATTTCGTACTTATCTCTTTTATTTTCTTAATTTATATAATTATGTATATATGTATATACATATTTATATAATAATGTATATAATTAATTTATATACATTTAATTAATTTGTTAATTGTAATTTTAAATTTAAATTTAAAAATGAAAAACTGAAGAATTTTTATTATTAAAAATAAGCATCGAACAAAAAAACTGAAAATAGAAAAAAGTTCCGTCTCGTCATTCTCTACAAGCCTATATTTAAAAAAAATTAATTTTGCGACTTTCAAAATTTTCATGCTCTGAGACGTTTGGACAATACTTTTACATGATTTCGAGCGCTGGGCGAGTTCTTTGATCCGAATCCTCAATTTTAAAACAAAAGAGATAAATATTTTTCCAAATTAAATAATTTTACGATTGGCTAAAAGTATTTTAAAATTTGAGATTAGTAGAGAATTTCAAAGATATAACCTGGTACACATCTTATAATGTGTTTAATTGTTTAACACAGAGATGGAAATTAATTGCAACTTTCGGCTCGATTTTCGTAACTTAGCAACGAGTCGCCGCACACGCGTAACTAAGGCGCGCGATATTCAGCCTCGGGACGTCTATATCACAAATGCAATAAATAAATAAATCACATATAAGTTAATACTATAATTTGATATGATTGCAACGACGAATCAAAAGCTTTAGATAAAGCTTCATCTCCGACTTACGTTTACAACTTTGTCGGGAACGATTACGACGATCTTTGTGCTCTTAGTTACGCGCGCCGGCGACTCGTTGCTAAGTTACGAAAATCGAGCCAAAAGTTGCAACTCACATTTTTAGTTTAACAAATCACTCAATGTTATTGTTTAATGCCAAAAATAATTGCGACAAATATATTGAGATGAAATAACACATATACGATAAATAAAATTGAGAGAAAATTGATAACGAAAAGTCGCGGTATCAAATGATTTTCAATCAATCATTAAACCCAAAGAAAGATTATCAAATTAATTGTTATATGAAAAAATTAACTTACCTCAGATACTGGATGAATGAAAATGATTCTTTGAATCTTTGAAATATTCCTCGTAATAACTTGAAAAATTACGGAAGTAAGAGAAACAACGTCCGTACAGATTAATGTTATCACAGAGAAGAATGAAAAAACAAAATCGCCGCGCTGGGAGGGTCTTATTAAGCCTGATGCACACATCACGCGATACTACGACTTAAGGTAACCAGCACAGTTGACCAATCGGAAGATCCTAGTGTCGAACTGGCCAATTGGCAATGTGGGATATCGGATCTCGTCCAGCCGCGCTTGCGTCGGTTGCACGCGCCAAAAAATGAAGATAGAACTTTGATGTAAATAGCAACTCAGACTCCCATTATATTATTTTATAAATAAATATTATCATTGCTAAATTAATATTAAATTAGAATCATAATTTTAATAAAAAGTTATTATTCAATTAATTAATTATGTGTGTATTTAAACATTATGGATTCATTTTAGGTTTCAGTCCATATTCAGTACGCCGTAATTTATATGAAAGTAGCCGACAGAAATTATTAAATTTAATTACCTTTAACTTTTCTGACAAGTAACACTAGCCAAGTGTCACACGCCAATAGGCTAGTGTTAACTTGTGTGAGTGTATTTTATTTGTAAATCGTTTGTGATTGATTGTGAGTCTGTTTTTAACGTTTGTGACAAATTTAGTTTTTTTGTAATTTACCAATTTTTATCTTAATTATGATGTCAGTCGACACTTTTTAGTAATAAACAGATTTTGTGATAACAGATAAATTATAATTGATAGGAAACTGTTTGTGTTTTACAAATACATCAATTTTCACGTTTGTGAATCAATACATTTTTTTAAATACTTGCAAAATAATTTTATTTTATAATTGTTTTGTGCATGCGCAAAGTATACTCGGGACTCCTATCTAGAAAAAGCGCGTCGAAGCGTTACGCGTGACGGATGCGCATGCACAATACAATTATAAAATTAAAACTTAATTTTTGTCAAGTAATTAAGATATTTATCAATTTGTCAAACGTAACATTAGTATATTTGTAAATCACAAAGGATTGCCTATTAATTACAGTTATCAGTTATCACAAAATATCTGTTATACTAAAAAAGTGGTCGGCTGACATTGCATGACTAAAATAAAATTATTAATTACTATCAAAAAAACTAATTTGTCACAAACATTATGAACAAACTCACAATCAATCACAAACAAATTTACAAACAAAATACACTCAGAAAAGTTAAAAATAATTAAATTTAATAATTCTGTCGGCTAGTTTTATGTAGATGTACGCCGTAATGGTACGGTACAGTTTCTATTGTGCGATATGTACCGAACAATATGCAGTATAGGTACAATGGGCTTGTTCGTTTTAGCTACACTGGGGCTGCTCTGGGTCTGCTCTACACAGGAT